CCTTACATGTGCACTTGACGCAAAAGTATAAATCAGACTTAGGATAATACACTTGTGGTGATAAAGGGATGATCATGGTTTGCAGTAATAAACTGCAATCAAACTAGAATTTAAGCATGTCTTGTGATTTTGTGGGAAAAAAAGGGTGGGATATGATCAAGCATGGGCCAGTATAAGATTGTGACAGTAAGATAACCTTAAATAAATACGTATTGTGATTACTACTCCATAATGAGTTCCTTTCAAATATCTGGGTTAAACTACTTTTTCACCATTGAACACAATATATTTTATTTTAATAAACATTTAAAATATTTCGGAGGGTCCTTTTCAATACTGTTGCCCTAAATAACTAAATTAAATAGTTTTAAAAACTTGTAAAAAAAATAAAATAAAAAAAAGTACATAAACCATATCAAAGGTATAACAGAACATTTTTGCGGTTTTAAAACCTTGACTAAAGCAGTTATCGCAGTTATCGTCCCATGACTAGATATGGCAAGGTGTTGAGACACTGATAAAATCAGCGACTGCTTTATGTTCTAAATTTCTGTACAGGTCATGTATTGATCTTCTATCAGTCTCACACATTCACATGATGTGAATTCACAGGTCAGAGTTCACCAAACTTTAACTTTGTAACACAGCAGCATGCGAAACTTGCAACATGAGCTTGCGTTTACATTCGGGCACGTTCACAAGAATGAGTATAAATGGAAGCCAATGGGCAAGAAGTGCAGTGTGGCCATGTCTATACTCAGGTAGGCTGTGCCATTTAAAGCGATAGTTCATCTAAAACGTTTAATATACTCAAGACTACCAATGTTCTAAATCTTTTTTCTTGTGTTGAACACTAAAGAAGATATTTTGAAGAAAGCTGAAAACATGTAACAATTGACTTCTATAGTTGATAAGAACAAACACTATGGAAGTCAATGGCTCCGGTTTTCAGCTTTTTTCAAAATCACTTATTTTGTGTGCAACAGAAAAAAGAAGTTTGGAACAAGTAAAAGATGAGTAAATAATAACAGAATCTTCAGCTTTGGCTGAACTTTCCCTTTAAACAATTCTTAATTGTTAACAAGGAACTCAAAAATTTTCCAAGAAACCAACCACCATCCACAAATATGCATTACACCATCAGCAGCCTGAACTGTTAATACAATGCAGGATGGATCAATGCTTTCATGTTATTTGCACCAAATTACCAGCTTTATGTAACAACAGAAATCAAGACTAACCAGACCTGACTACCCGTTGCCAATGTTTATTGTCCTATTTTGGTGAGTCGAGCATTTCTTTGCAAAGCATTTCTTTGTTTTGTTATTATTGCCTTTCCTTCTTCTTGAACCAGTCTGGTCTGCCTCTGGTATGAATTAAGACATTTTAGCTAATCAGCTAATGATCACTATTTATTTTAACCTACTCTATATTGACCATACTCTGAAGACACTACAGATGGCTGTGCATGAAAATCCCATTAGATCACTAGTTTATGAAATCTGGCATCAACCACTATGCCACCTTTAAAGTCACAATTCTTTTTCTACCCCATTTTATGCTTAGGTCGGCATATGCACAACAATAATTTAGCCAAAAAATTACTTTTGAATATTAAAAAAGATTTCTGTTTACACGTTTTCAAAATGATCCATGTTTACAACCGAATAAGCTGTATTATGTGTGCCAGGCCAATATTTGGTTCCCTCACCATTTTAATAAACAGCTCCTGTAGAGAAGTGACGATGTGCAGTAGAGGTGTGAACCTATACTGGTCTCACGGTTCGGTTCGGTTACAATTATCATGCCATCGATTCAGTTCAATTCGATATCTCCGTGCATCAAGGTGCATTGACGATGCTTTCAATACACAGTGTTATTTTTTGGGGGTTGGCTTTAACAAGCTGTCTGTAAACACACACACACACATAGACACACAGCACCACACTGTCTCTCGTTCACATTGATACACAAACATAGACCGCACCAAACAAACAAACACACACACACACGTGCTTGCCTGCTCGCTAGGGAGCAATATTGTGAGACCACCCACTCCTGTTAAATTTACACCAGATTTACCGACCGCTACCGTGCTTTATTCGGAAATTTATTCCTGCGGCGCATGAAATCTGGTCGGGTCCCGCGACAATGCACAGGTACAGCTGCGGAAATGCAGACCTATATCCAGAAGGATCGTTGTAACAGCCGAGAGGAAAAGAGAGGGGAGAAAAAGTCACGCCAGCAGCTGAGAGGAAAAGTCACACCAGCAGGTGAAATGGGCCACAGAGAGAGAGAAAAATGTAGTTCACTTTCATTCCCTCAATCGCAGAGAAATAGGTGCTTCTGCTGTAAGTGTAAGTGAAAGACTGTCCGGAAAACACACATACGCAGTGAAATTGTGCACAGTTTCTGAGGTTTAAAGTATATGGCACCTGAAGTGTTGCAAAAACACGCGCTCACCTCTCTCGCGACAGAGCCCAAATGAGATAAATGAAGTCAGTGTATAATAACCGGTTATGGTTATTACTGAACCGATACCGAATTGTCTGCGTCTGCATCATGGTGCACCGAAGAAACAATTCAATTTAACACCCCTAATGTGCAGTCAGTGGCTCGGCACTTGTGTGTGTGTAGAATTTGCAGTGTTTGCATCTCCCCTTTTGGTTGTAAAGTGAAGAAATTCCATACTTTGCTGAGGAAGCGATAGCACTTGAACAAAACAAAACAACAACAAACTACACACACCGTCATTTTTTTACTCTTGCCTTTAGTCTATCCCTTTCTAAACACCTACAGACTCTATTTTAACAATCTAAGCGCAAAGTCTAAAGCCCTATATGGTGATGTGTACACCTCCAAAGCCTGACAGGTGGACAAATAAAAAAATATATAAATATGCATATAATAAAAAGTACTACTGATAATTATAACATTATACAAATGCAAATTGTCATGAATAAACAGACTACAACAGAGCCAGATTCCTAAGCCCCCTGAGATGAAGAAGGCATTTATATTTATGTAGAAAATAATGTTTTTAGATTTTAATCCTTTATTATTGTTTATAAGTAAAAATATTAGTGTATTGCTACATATCCTGTGTATTAAGCAATATGTACATGTCTTAGACCCACATAGGCGCATTACTAAGGTGCTCTTTCAATTACAAAAACTCCCCCCCCATCGACTTTAGACCAGCTTTCAGTTAGTCAATGGGAGTCTATATCAGTTGCATCATAACAGTTACGAGCCAAAAATGAGCCTTAACACACCTCCTTTTCAGAACAGCATGCGCATAAGTCCACAAAGTGGTGCAAATGGATTTACTATTTAAACAATGTGGCGCAAAGCATGAAAATGACACTTGCACTGGTCTGAAAATAGCAACAAATGTTGTCCTAAGCGCTCGGCGCCATATTGTGCCAGGTGTGTGATAGGGCCCTAAATATGTGTATTTTCAGACATTTACAAGAACAAGACATTTTCAAAAACACCCACTTTGAAACCATGTGATATCACATTTGCAGATTTATAGATTTTCAGTCACAAAGTGAAATTTATTTCTAAACTAATTGCGAGAGGAGCACGTGCTTATGATTGATAGCACCTGGTCCACATTAGCTAACACTGATTTACCAATCAGACGACTCCTTAACCACTATAAATAACCAGAGTATCTTACTTCAGCCATCTTCGTCTTGAAGAATCCCCCCTTCCACCCCTACTCCTCCCATTTCCTTGTCAGGGCAGCACGGAGGCCTAGTGGTTAGCACCACGGCCGCACAGCAAGAATGTCACCGGCTCGAACACGTCCTGGCCAGGTCGGCATTTCTGTGCGGAGTTTGCATGTTCTCCTCATGTTTGCGTGGGTTTTCACCGGGCTCTCCGATTTCCTCCCACAGACCAAAAACATGTAACTTAAGCAAATTGACAGCATAGACACTTCACAGCATCAATCTACTTCCAACATCATCAAGCAGGGGAGTTCTCGAGACCTACCTGAACTCGGACTCCCTTCTCGCCCTGCAACGGGGGGGAGCCCCGGGCTCGAGGATCTCACGAGTTCAGGGCTCTCTCCCGGGACAGCATGCCAAACTAGCTTCATAATCAATCATCAGCTAAGGGCGAACTCTTGAAACACTGTTGTCATGTACACAAACAGACAAAACTCATAAAAATGTCCATATTTTTATTTATTTTTTTGGCGGCAAACGTCATGCAAATGACCCCTTTGGTTGATCTTCAACACATCGTCTTGACCATGTCTATGTGCCTTAATACTTTGAGTTGCTGCAATGTTGAACAAGTGTACCAATAAAGTGACTGTTGAGTCTGTAATTACAAGTGAATTAACTTTTTAATTAGTAGTAAGTCGTTTATTATCATTTAATCTCAGATTCTACTGTACTCCACATACTTTTCTTCAAACCTGTTCAACTAGTTTTTTTGACCTACTCTACACACCTGTCCATGCTTGTTTGCTGAACTACAGTATTTGCTGTACTTACAGTACCATTAAAGGTGAAGACGTAAATCTTTTAGGGAAGCCCTTATTAGACACATATACACAGAGGCTCGTTCTCCCCCAGTTTTCTCACGGCAGAGACAGAAAGCAGGGCCTCAGCCTGAAACAACATGTTCATCTGTTGATCCAGTGGGAAATGCACAGGCTTTTGGGTGTTCAAGAATGTGCAAACCCTTCATTTTCTCTACAGTTTTTCTCTGTGACCTTGCACGCCGACCTACTGCCCACAACTTGCCTTTAGAAGATCAGCATGATCGGCTCATTGTTTTTGATAGCGCCAAGCAGTCTTCCACCTTGAACTCTTCCATACAAGCTTGTTTGTTCCTCTCATGGGAGAATATTGTGGGAATATCTGAGCCCTCCCTGGCTGTTATGACTTTTTGGGATGTTTGTGTTGCGTAATGTCCCTGATATAGTTTACAACAGCATTGTGGTCTCATGTTTCACGCTGTTTTGTTTTGTTGTGTTATAGGTGATACCGTTGAGCTTCTCCCTGAAAATTCGTTCAAAGGAAGCAACACAGACTTTGGCAACATCGGATTGGCTCTTTACAGTGGGCTGTTTGCTTACGGAGGATGGTGAGTTCGCAAATCTACTTTAGAATTGAGAGAAAGTGTGAAGAATTAGAATTTATTGGTAATGTAATGCGATGTAAGTCTCTTTTTTTGTGTGTGACAGTGATTGATGTTTTTGTTTTATATGTCTTTAATTGATCATGCCATGTAGCCCCGACCACAATAAAATCTCATTGGCCCAGATTTCCATTCTGCATAGCAAATAATGGTTTTGACAACACCACAGTGTTTGTTTTTTATGTAAATAAGCTGAGTGACTCATACTTTGGATATTTGGTTGATTCTGCAGGAAGTAATATAAACACAATATTTCATACATCTACTTTAATGCACTCATTCATTCATTTTCTTGTCGACTTAGTCCCATTATTAATCCGGGGTCGCCACAATGGCACAATGCCACCAACTTATCCAGCAAGTTTTTACGCAGCGGATGCCCTTCTAGCCGCAATCCATCTCTGGGGAACACTTTAATGCAATTCAAAATCATTTCTTCTCACTCTCGAATTTAATAATTTAATTTTTCTCAATTTTTTTGAATATTATAATAATAATAATAATAATAATTATTATTATTGTTGTTGATATGTAGCGAAAGCATGTGAGGATGACTCTCTACTAAAAGAAGGCAAGCAGCCTTTCCTGCTCCCCAATCACACAAACAGGCCAAGTTATCAAAAGATATAACAAATTCATTTAACACACACACACATATTTGTATATATATATATATATATATATATATATATATATATATATATATATATATATATATATATATATATATATATAAATATATATATGAGCAATATCACACGAGTAGCTGTGTGATGTGGCTGTATATCGGTACTAGTGGGAGTCGAGCCTTAAGCCTGGTTTATAGTTCTGCGTCGAGTGATCGGCGTGACCCAGGTTTAACTATCAGGGATGGGAAACAGGAGAGAGTTGTTGTTGTTGTTATTGTAATTTGTTTTCACTTTAACATCTTGATTTTTTTTGTTTGTTAGCTGTTGAATTTGTTAGAAATGCTTTATTTTATAAGTCCTTTTTTTCCTCTTTTTTTTGTTTACAAGGAATTATCTGAATTTTGTCACAGAGGAGATGATTGAGCCATACAAGTAAGTCTGACCATTTTTTTCATGATTAAAAATAAATAAATAAATAAATAAAATATTTTCCTTATTTCAATATTTTCCCTTAAAGAAGGAATATAATATCTGAAGAAATTAAATGAATATTTATTTTACATGCCATATTTTGAGTCATTTGATTACATATTAAAATACATATTTTTTCCAAATCTTTGTTGTTCCTATTGATTAAAACCAGTTTTTTGGTCATTTTAAAATTTTATGTAATTTAGTTTGCTCATTTACTATTATAGAAATCGTTCAAAGAATACATATATTGTTTCTTTTTGTAAATAAATTTTGAGCTAAATTACAATCAGTGCTTAATTCAAGCCTAATCTTGCTGGAATACCTGTTCAGAAATTCATGTTTTGTGTTCTGGAATGTAATTTAACGGATCCGACATTAACTTAGGTGTGGTAAATACCTACAGTACGTGTGTGTGTGTGTGTGTGAGAGAGAGAGAAAGTGAATGAGTGCAATTGAAGGCACACACACACACGACGGTAGTCGCCATGCACAAGTTAAAGCAAAAGTGACGTTTAACTATTGGCCCTCAACAATATTTTCGGCTTTTTTATGTTTACTATCACTCTCATTGGTTGGTGATTGTTTCGCGCACAGTGAACAGCAAAAATTAATAATAGCATAGTGGCCTACCTAAATAATTTTTGTGTTTTCAAAATGCCAAAGAGAGAGTCATGCATAATTTCATTTGTTAAAACCACGGGTAAATCTAATAAAGAGCCTGATCAAACGAGATCTTGAAAAACTGAAACTGCACGAATGGATCAGGATAGCGAGAGACAGAAGCAAAGCGATCTCATGTCAGACAGAATACATGATAGAAGAGGTTACTGTGGGCTCTTCTTGAAGATTAGACTGAGTGAGTCATTTAATTATTTTTTTTCTCTTGGCACATAATAGTGAAGTAAACTGAATAGTGGTTGTTCATACAATTTATGTTTGTAGCTATATGTTTTTATTATACATGACTGACCTATAATGTTATTTGGCACAAAATAATTAAAGACCATTTAGAAAAAAAATGACGTCATGTTCTGGGAAAACTGAAATTGTTTTTTTTAGGCACATTTATTTTACATTAACACTTTTACTGAATCTAAAATGTAAAAGACAGAATAATAATAAAAAGCTAATAATGAAATCTAAAATGTCAATAACACCAAAATAAAACTGTTGTACAAATGTATAGGTGCACAACAAAGCTGAGTGCACAACAATTGTGTAATTAATAATATAACACGGTAAAGTTTTTGCAAAAGCTGGATTATATAATGGAGTGTGTGCCAACATTTTACAGAAATCTGCCTCGGGCCATCATCATCTCGCTCCCCATCGTCACCGTTGTCTATGTGCTGACCAACCTGGCCTACTTCACCACACTCAGTCCAGAGAAAATGCTTTCGTCTGAGGCCGTTGCTGTGGTAAGTGTCGTGTCATAGACATATTATTGTCCATATTTTTACCTATGCTTTTAAATGCAAGACACTGCAGGTAAATATATAGTAAAACAAATAGTTACCATACTAATAAATGTGATTGATTGCATCAAGACTTGGAAAAATCATTGAAATGTGCCAATTTGCATACATTTCTTGCATTTCTTGAACACTTTTTATTACTTGTTATTACTATTATTATTTTTTGTTCATTCTTTTCATTTTTTTTATTACAGAGCAAGTATAGAATAACATTATGTGTATATTCAAATTATTTGTATAATCAGACAAACCCTCTGTAAAAAGCTAAATCTGATTCTAGATTTGAATAAAATCAAAAATCATGCTTATATTCAAGTAAACTATTTGTAAAATAAATGAAAAAAAAATGGTTGTAGATATGAATAATCCTGTAAATTATGTGTATATTCAGGCAAATTATTTTTACAATCAAACAAATCCCTCTGTAAAAAAGAAATCAGATTGTAGATATTAATATAACTCTAAATTATGTGTATATTCAGATAAATTATTTGTATAACAGACGAATGTCTCTGTAAAAAGAAAAATCAGATTGTAGATATTAATATAACTGTAAATTATGTGTATTTTCAGGCAATTTATTCTTACAATCAAACAAATCCCTCTGTAAAAAAGAAATCAGATTGTAGATATGAATAAAACTGTAAATTGTGTGTATATTCAGGTACAGATAATTTATTTGTATTATCAGACAAATCCTTCTGTAAAAACAAAAATCAGATTGTAGATGTTAATAAAACTGTAAATGATGTGTATATTCAGGCAAATCACTTGTATAATCAGACAAATTCCTTTGTAAAAAAAAAAAATCTGATTGTAGATATTAATAAACTGTAAATGATGTGTATATTCAGATAAATTATTTGTATAAACAAAAATCAGATTGTAGATATGAATAAAACTGTAAATTATTTGTATAATCAGACAAATCCCTCTGTAAAAGCAAAAACCAGATTGTCAATATAAATAAATCTGTAAATCATGTGCATATTCAGGCCAAACTATGTATAATCAGACAAATACCTCTGTAAAAAGAAAATCTGATTGTAGATATGAAAAAAAAAAAAGTTTGTTGTAAGTGGTACTACAGTGGAAATGTAAGGCTCAATGCAAGCGAAAAAAAAGCAAATGTGGAGTAAAAAGCATTTAAAAATATTTATTGTGATCTACAGACACAAATTGTGATGCACAGAAATGGGACAAACACATAATGAGAAAGTTGACGATGGCTCCTAGAAAAAGGATTAGCAGCATGTAACTAACAAATGTTCTTTATGAGAATAGACGATACATGAAAAAAAACTTTGCCATGCCCAGCGAGCACATTTGTCATTACTTATTTGACAAAAAGGAAAGGTCAGTCACCTTATGGTACATAACAGACTCTGGAGAACCGCACACTCCTCAGGACCTCTGTCTGATCCTGACGGCTGAAGACTGGTTCTTATTCTACAACAGGCCCGTGCAGAGACCTTCCAAGAGGCATGTGCAGGTCAAAAAATTTCGAAGAGCGGGGGGTGGGGGGGTGTGGGGTTGCTGTAGCACTTCAGATCATTATGGAAGGGCACTTTTTATCCAAGACTAAAAAGGGCATGTGCACTGCATAGGTTGAGCCCTATGTTTGCACGTGCCTGTTCTACAAACATGTCTGGCCAGATCTCCGTCGTTCTAAACAGGAGCCATCGTCAACTTTCTCATAAGGTGTTCGTCCCAATTGTCGTCCATAGACATAACGTTTCCATTTTAGTCTGTATTGACTTCATCTGACCAAATTTGACCGGGAATTTAAAGTCCTTCATGACTTTGACATAAGCCGGCCTTAAAGCGGAAGTCCTGCCTTAAAGGGGTGTGGCGGTCCTCAATCAAATTTTGACACATGAATCCGCATATTCCTCTCTCTTATAATTAATAAATGCAGCTCAAGTATTTTTCATTATTAGTTCATGTTAGTAAATCCATTCACTAATGAATCCTTATTGTAAAGTGTGACCAATTCATTAAGCTACTTACTAGCCTCCCTTTAATTAGTAGTTATTAAAGTACCATGATAATTAAGCTGTTTTGGGTTTATTTCAGGACTTTGGAAACTACCACTTGGGTCCAATGGCTTGGATAATCCCCGTGTTTGTTGGCCTGTCCTGCTTTGGCTCTGTGAACGGCTCTCTGTTTACTTCATCTAGGTAATGCGCGCACACACACACAGTCTTGTTATAAATATCCAGTGTTGGGAGAGGTTGCGTTAATCAGATCACTTTACTTTAAGTTGTTTATTTGATTAATCTGTCTGGTTAGTGTTGTTGTTGTTAAGTCAGCCTGCAGGCTTTTCCACTGCACATATTGTTTATAATGGTGGTTAGTGCTGGACGTAATGGACAAAACTGGATCTGTGTGTCTTCAGGCTGTTCTTCGTGGGCTCCAGAGAAGGTCATCTTCCCAGTTTGCTGTCCATGATCCACCCTGACCTGCTGACTCCTCTGCCTTCACTCATATTTACTGTAGGTGTCCCAAAATCAAACCCATAACTCTTAATATCATGTCCAGTTTATGAGTGAATCATTTTTTTATGTTTTTGTTTTAGTGAGTCAGTTTCAACAGTTCTTATTTTAAAGTGAATCACTCTTTTGAGTCTTGTTTTAGGGAATCAGTTTAAACAGTTGTTCTTTTTTGGAGTGAATCATTCTTTTTTTTGGAGTCTTTTTTTTTTAACAAATCGTTTAATCTGTTCTGTTTGTTGCTCAACTCATTCCATTTAATGTTTTTTTTTTGCAGTATTTGAGCAAATTTGATATTTTTTATTAAATTAGTTCTGTTTTTTATGTTTTTAGTGAATCAGTTTAAACAGTTCTTATTTTAGTGAATTGTTCTTTTGAGTCTTTTTAAGTAAATCATTTAATCAGTTCAGTTTGTTGTTCAAATCATTTATTTCGATTAGATTATTTTATAGCGTTTGAGCAAATTTTATCTTTTTAATAAATTAGTTCTGTTTTTTATTGTTTGTGTTGTAGTGAATCAGTTTAAACAGTTTTTATTTTGGAGTGAATCATTCGATTGAGTCATTTTTTTAAGTGAATCGTTTAAATGCCTCTGTTTGTTGCTCAAATCATTATTCTTGATTAGTTTTTTTTTTCATAATATTTGAGCAAATTTAATCTTTTTAATGAGTCGGTTCTGTTTTTTAATGTTCTTGTTTTAGTGAATCAGTTTAAACAGTTTTTTTTTTGTAGTGAATCATTCTTTTAATTTTTTTTTAAGTTAATCAGTTTAAATGGTTCTTATTTTGGAGTAAATAATTCATTTCAGTCATTTTTTATATGAATCATTTAATTCCTTCTATTTGTTGCTCAAATCATTTGATTTTTTTTCATATTATTTGAGCAAATTTAATCTTTTTTATGAGTTGCTTCGTTTTTTTTTTATTTTTATGTTTTTTGTTTTAGTTGATCAGTTTAAATAGTTCTTTTTTTGGAGTGAATCATTCTTCTTTTTTCGAACAAATCGGTTAATCTGTTCTATTTGTTGCTCAAATCATTTGATTTTTTTTTCATATTATTTGAGCAAATTTAATCTTTTTTATGAGTTGCTTCGTTTTTTTTTAATTTTTATGTTTTTTGTTTTAGTTGATCAGTTTAAATAGTTCTTTTTTTGGAGTGAATCATTCTTCTTTTTTCGAACAAATCGGTTAATCTGTTCTGTTTGTTGCCCAAATCATTCACTTCGATTATTTTTTTTCATAGTATTTGAACAAATTAAATATATCAAATGAGTTGCTTCTGTTTTTTTTAATGTTCTTGTTTTAGTGAATCAGTTTAGACAGTCCTTTTTTAAAGTGAATCATTTTTGAGTATTTTTTAAGTGAATTGTTTAATCAGTTCTGTTTGTTGCTTAAATCTTTCCTTTCAATTAGATTTTTTTCATAGTATTTTAACAAATTTGATCTTTTTAGTGAATAGATTCAGCTTTTTATGTTTTTGTTTTAGTGAATCAGTTTAAGCAGTTCTTATTTTGGAGTGAATCATTCTTTTGAATCGTTTTTTCTGTTCTGTTTGTTGCTCAAACATTAGGAAATTTCATGGACTTTAAATTTTAAAATTAAATGCAGATATTTGAATGATTAGCAGGATTTAGCATATTAATTAGCATATTATTAAAAGAATTAAATAACTTTTTTTTCTTTTCTTTTCTCCCCCCTTCAGTGCATCATGACTCTCCTGTACGCGTTCTCCAATGACATTTTCTCCGTCATCAACTTCTTCAGCTTCTTCAACTGGCTCTGCATTGCGATGGCCATTGTTGGAATGATGTGGCTACGCTACAAGAAACCTGAGCTGGAACGACCAATTAAGGTAAACCAGTGGGCGGAGTCAGTAATCAAAACAGCTTCTGATTGGCTAAACATCTGCAAGTAAAAACAAAAACACTTCCACCGAGTGAACCAGGTCATTCTTTCGTTTTGGGAAGTGACCTGCTTTTTTTTCCTGACTGAAACCGGACATATCCGGCAACGGCACGGTAACACACAGGCTCTTTTGTGAGTCTCATCTCTGCACTCGGTGGCCTGCGTTCATCTGCCGGACACACAGAGAGAGATGTTCATCAGAGGTTTGGAGGCGCTGGAGTGAAAGAGGCCATTTGCTTATTGCTCATAATCTTTCACTCATTAGGGACAGCGCATTGTCTGTCGGTACTCAGCACTTAGATGTTTTACTGATGATTTTAACTGTTGGAGGGATGGCTGGAGTAGCTGTAATGCAGTAGGTTGAAAGAGTATTAAAAAATATTATAATATAAAAATATTGTATTTTTAGATGATATATACAATTGGAAAAACATAGAATTCACTAAAATAATTGATTGCTGTTCTGTTGTTTGTTTAGGGTGGGTGAGATAAATGTTTCCAAACTTTTACTCAACTAGGATATATTAAATAGACAAAAAATTATATAAAATATAAAATATTCAACTAAATGCTTAAAAATATTATATATCATTATATTATATGATTTAAAAATATATATTATACTATATCATTTTCAATTTATTATGTATTATTATTATTTTTAAATTTATTATTTAATATTTCATTTAATTTTCTTGTCAGCTTAGTCCCTTTATTAATCCAGGGTCGCCACAGCGGAATGAACCGCCAACTTATCCAGCACATTTTTACGCAGTGGATGCCCTTCCAGCCGCAATCCATCTCTGGGAAACATCCACACACACATTTATACACTACGGACAATTTAACTTACCCAATTTACCTGTACTGTGGGGGAAACCGGAGCACCCGGAGGAAACCCATGCGAATGCAAAGAGAACATGCAAACTCCACACAGAAACACCAACTGAACCAAGGATCGAACCAGTGACCTTCTTGCTGTGAGGCGACAGCCCTACCTACTGCACCACTACGTCGCCCTTTAATTTATTATATTATAATATAATATTACAAATTTAATACATTATATTATATTATAATTTTTTATTTTTATTTTATTATGTTATTTTATTTTATATTATTACTTTTTATTTATTATATTATTTTATTTTATACTATATTATTTCAATTTATTATATTATATTATTATAAATTTATTACATTATATTATCTTATTATTTTATTATATTATTTTATGTTATATTATTATTTTTTATTTATTATATTATATTATTTTATACTTTATTAACTTTAATTTATTATATTATATTATTATTTTTTAATTTAATATATTATATTGTATTATTTTATTTTTAATTAATTATATTATATTATATTATTTAATATCTTTAATGAATTATATTATATTATTATTTTTAATTTATTATATTATTTTTTTACATTATATTATATTTTAACAGAAAAAAAATTAATACTGTGCTTATTTGATAAACATGTATTAATATGTATTTTTAAAAAATGTTTAAAATTTTATCCTAAATGTAGGATGTATTAAATTGACAAAAGTGTCAAATTCGTAATGTTTATAAATGATAGATGTATCAAATTTACAATTAATTTAAACAAAATGCAAAATGTTTCTTAATATAATATAATATAACATAATATAATATAATATAATTCATTGATTTTCTTGTCGGCTCAGTCCCTTTATTAATCCGGGGTCGCCACAGTGGAATGAACCGCCAACAAGTTTTTATGCAGCGGATGCCCTTCCAGCCGCAACCCATCTGTGAGCGCACTGACTCCATTGTCCTGTGGCTGCCATTGCATCATCCAAGTTGATGCTGCACACTGGTGGTGTTGTGGAGAGACCCCCGCGCCTCATGATGGCTTTGGGTGTATGGCCATACACAATAAATGCGCTATACAATTACACATTACATTATCTAATGCTTTAATGTGAATGCATGTGAGCATTTAATAAAAAGCCAAACCCATATTATGATTATTAGTAATAATAATGATAATAAAAATAATAAAATAGTTTTGCCATGTCTCGTCGGTAAATTAATCATTCTATAAAACCAGATCAGTCCGGCTTTCCCAAAACAAAAACAATGATCTACTCCTTTGTGATGGAGTAGTAGCAAGCAAAACTCCAGGAGAAAGTTATAATAAGAACAGCTTTGAACCATTCCTGGAGCTCCATTCCTGCAGCCCATTGTATAAAAATGCAGAAAACACAACACAAGGCAAACATCAAAGACCAGGATGTCCTACCATAAAAAAACCCAGCAGCCAGAGAAGAAGAATAGTGATTGTCAGAGAAGCGAGCAACGCTGAGCGGAAACATTTACAGTATGTCTTTCACGTGTAAAACAAACTTTTGATCGTATTTTTCAAAGCCCTCTGTCTGTCCACCAGGTCAATATTCTGCTGCCCATTGTGTTCGTGCTGGCGTGTCTGTTCCTCATCGTGGTGTCCTTCTGGAAGACCCCTGTGGAGTGTGCTATAGGGTTCGGGATCATCGCTACAGGAGTTCCTGTCTATTTCTTCGGCGTTTGGTGGCAGACGAAGCCGAAATGGCTCCTGCAGATCATCTGTGAGTATTTTTAGTTTTTTGAGTATTGTTAAATGCAATTGATGGTGATCTTAATCTTTAGCATAAACATCAGTGGTTTTATCTAAACTATAAACTGGTATGCCAGTACTTCTGTGTTATTTGACTTTGTAACTTCATGAGTAACACAAAAGACTAAATCTCTTTTGATTTTTGTGTTCTTCAAACACAGATTTGAATGCAGCTATCTAAAGGATTAATAAACATATGCAAATCACCATCATTTATAATTAATGTTGCGTTGGTGTTATTGATTCATTGTGAAGCCCACACTGAATGATTTAATGCAGGCTGAACAAATAGGAACAGGAAACACCTTTAATAACCTAAGAAACCCACCACATCCCGAATAACCTACCACAACTTCATTATCAAATCATCATTATATTTTACAGGGAATGCTTTCATACATGTAATTTGAATAATGCAAGAGGTGATCTCTCTCTGCAATCGTTAAAATTTAGATTTAATCTAGAAGTAAAAAAACTCTATGAATCTGTGGGTCACGTATGCTCCGAACCATGATGTGTTGTAATCCATACGAATAACGGTTTAACCATGATCCGTTACACCCCTAGTAGTAAGCTAAAAAATATTAAATAGAAATCTATCTATCTATCTATCTATCTATCTATCTATCTATCTATCTATCTATCTATCTATCTATCTATCTATCTATCTATCTATCTTTTTATAGACTTATAAGGAAGGAATGCAGGACAGTGCTTGTTCTATCGAAATGAGATTTGACGGTTTTGGAAAAGTTGTCTTTTATTTAATTAATTGTCAATTCATTTATTTAGATGCCATATTTCAGTTAGTTTAAAGAAATAGTACAAACTTTTACAGCTATGAAAACTTTCTTAATCAGCTATGCCTTTTTTTATTGGCCTAATATTGTTATCAGACTGATATTGATAACAATAAAAATACCATTTGCTGACTCATATCAATATGAACACCAATATATTGTGCATGTCTATTTAAAATAACTATTCTATCTATCTATCTATCTATCTATCTATCTATCTATCTATCTATCTATCTATCTATCTATCTATCTATCTATCTATCTATCTATCTATCTGTCTGTCTGTCTGTCTGTCTGTCTGTCTGTCTGTCTGTCTGTCTGTCTGTCTGTCATCTATCTATCTGTCTATCTATCTCTCTATCTTTCTGCAGTGGGGAAAATAAATATTGAACGCGTCACCATTTTTATTGTTGACTTTAAATTTTCACTGGATGTTGGTAACAACCAAATAAATCCATATATGCAAAGAACCAAAACTAATTAGTTTACAAATGAAGTTATGTGTAATAAAATAAAATCACGCAGGGAAAAAGTATTCAACACATGAAGAAAGGGAGGTGTAGAAAAGCAGTGATAGCCCAGACAGCAGCTAAAATCTTTTAGTAGTTATTCAGTAACCCTCGGCCCTTCGTCATTGTAAATTAATATTCACTGTTTCAGTCCAGCATCTACATTATCAGGATGATGAAGATGAAACCAGGGTGGACATTTCAGGAAGACAATGATCCAAAAGACAGCCAAGGAAACTCTCAGATAGTTTCAGAGAAAGAAAATCAAGCTGTAGAATGGCCCAGCCAATCACCTGAACTGAATCCAATAGAAAATAGCAATTAAAGATCAGATTTGACAGACGAGACTTACAGAATCATCAAGATTTTTTCACTCTGTTGAGCACTCCTGAGCAATTCATGTGACTTCATTCTCCATATAAGAGGCGTCTTTAAGCTGCCATCAGCAAAAAAGCCTTTTTATATAAAGTATTAAATACTGTCAGTAGTTCAGTTCTTTCTCCTTTTGTCATGTCATTGTTATTACACAACTAACTTTTCAGATTTTTTTGTTTTGTTTCATTTTTATGCTTGTATTTTGTTTGGGTTTTTTACCAAAATTGTGTTCAATTCCATGTCAACAGCTCCTATAGAGATATTATTCCCAGGAAAAAACATGACGTGTTCAATACTTAATTTTCCCAGTTTTATATATTATTATTATTTTAAAAATTGAATTTATTTTAGACATTTGATCACAAAACTGAATGTTATTCAGTGTCATGATCTGAAATCAATTTCATTTGATCATTTACTGCTCAAGAAACAGTCTTTTAAGCCTTGAAATATATATATTTTTGTAAACCACAAAGCATCTTTTCTAGATTCTTTGATGAATAAAAACAGCACAATCTTTATATTATTAAATAAATCTTAATTTATTGTATGTTATAGTATTGAACAAGTAAAATTACACAGTAGCATAATGTTATTCCTTTTTCCCCTGTGCAGTCTCATCCACGGTGATGTGCCAGAAGATGATGGAGGTGGTACCCCAGGAGTCCTGAAGCGGCTGTTCTCCTCATCTCCACCTCAGACTCCCATTTACTGTATCCATCTCTCCTCGCGTGAGCCAGAAAAACAGTCTTATCCTGCTGACATGGACAAAAAAAATCTATATTCATCACCACATTCGAAAACACAAAAACATCAGTGGTCACACGAGCAGTTCAGTCGTCATATAGATTTTGTCGGTCTTTCCTGTATTATACTGTATACATTCAGTTTTCCAGTTGCAAGTTTTCAATCAGGATTTTTAGTTCGTTTTATATGTATTTTTGTAAACCATTGGAGAAGCGTGTCATAAGAATCTCTGAGTGGACATCATTTCATTTAGGGCCTCAGATTTTTACCTTCCTGTTTCATGCGTTCGGCTTTTGTTTAGTACGTTCGTGGCTTGTGCAGATACGCTATTGTCTATTGAGGCGAAAACTATGATTCTCATCTAGGGGTGTGCGATATTTATCATTTATGATAGTATGGTTTTTGTTTTTTAATAATACGTAAGCTGACATTACGCCAAAAAAACAAACAAAACATTAATTGTGTGGGGGAAAAGGCTGTTTGAATGAAGTTAGAAGTTATTAATAAGAGGTTAATATGGAGTGAGTTATATTTGAGATGTCAAAAGCTAGAGAAGAAAATTTAGTGGAACACTTTTGTGTGATTTGATCGCCAAATGAATCTGCTTTTGAGCGAATCATTTGAGTCGGTTTAATAATCCATTCAAATATACAGTGTGAAAAATGCTGGCTTCCACACAATGCCTTCATGTTGTCGCAACCATTGTGGAATTGTGGATTGAACGTAAAACAATTAGCTTGTCTCCAAAAAAATCTAAAGAATTGTGTTGTTTCAGCTGATTTTAATTAAGTAGTTTGATGGGGAGAAAAGCAGCAAAAATATTATGGGAGTGTAGTCGCTTGCTTTATTTCTAAATGAATCAGCATTTTTGAACGATTTATTGAATCGCTCTTTAAGACAGGGACTTGTCCCATCCTACTGCCGTTTTTTTCATTCATCCTTGACAGTCCTAAACCAGCACGAAAACACACAAATGCTAAATATTTGGTAATTTTATTTATAAAATAAAACATATTAAGTAGTAAGTAACGCACTACACTTGTGGAATTTGTTCCAGAATTTATCTGTTTTCATACAAATCATTTGAACAGATTCTATAATTCATTCAAACACTGTGAAAAATGCTGAGCTTTACACAATTCCTTCATGTTGTCCCAACTTAATTAAAAACTTTTAAGTGGATTGAATTTAAAATAATTAAGTTGTCTACAAAAAATTTAAAGAATTGTTTTGTTTCAGCTGAAATTAAGTAGTTTCACAGAACAACCAGCTAAAGCATTTATTTCTAAATCAGTCGGCGTTTTTGAATGATTCATTGAATTGCTCTTTAAGACAGGGACTTGTCACATCTTACTGGCATTTAAAAAAAAATATTTATCCATGACAGACATAAACCAGCACGAAAACACACGAATGGTAAACATTTGTGTATTTTCTTTATAAAGTAAAATTTAGCACTACACTTGACTACGTGTGATTTGTTACTGAATTAATTACTTTTCGAACGAATCACTTGAGTCAATTCATTAATCCATTCAAACACTGTGAAAATGCTGGCTTCCACACAATTCCTTTATGTTGTACCAATTAAATTTACAACTCTAAGGGGATTAAACATAAAACAATTACGTTGTCTCCAAAAAAATAAAAAAGAATTTGGTTGTTTCAGCTGGTTTTAGTTAAGTAGTTTGACAAAAATAGCAAAAATAGTTTTTAAATGTAGTCGCTTGTTTTATTTTAGAAATGATTCAGCATTTTTGAACGATTGATTGAATCGCTCTTTTTTATTTTTATTTATCAATAGCAGTCTTAAACCACCACAAAAACACACAAACGCAAAATATTTGTACATTTTCTTTATAATTTTTTTTTTTTTAAGTTTTATGGCCAATATCGCACACCCCATTCAAAAACCTGACAGGCAAATTTTCTGATATTTAGATTACTGTATGTAATATTATATCTACTCACATTCACTTTTCAACAGCAGACATGCTGTGCCTTGCAAGCCTCTGTAGAAATGTATTATTTTTTGACATCAAGTTGGTATGACTTTATACAAATTTATTTTTTTATAGCTTAACACAGTTTTTTTTAAAGGATTTTAAAGGAATCTCCTTTTTTGAGCTACGGTCCTTTAATTATGTATTAAATTGTTTTATTATTATCGATATTACGGAAGGCGTAGACTTACAGTATTCAATATTTCATCAGAATACATAGCCTTGCTGCTTACCTCAGTACTTTACATTCTGGCTGTGTTTTTTCATGCCTAACTATGATTTCATGAAGCACAAAATATATGAGGTGATAATATTCCCTCAGAGACATTTTTTAAAACTAATTAGCTTCTCTTTTTCGCATATATATGTGAAGTACGTAACACTGGACCACATATTTCATTTTTTTTTTCCTTGTAGTATATTGCTTGTGGTAGAAGCTTTTTAAAGAAACAAGCTCATTGTTTAAAATAGTTTGTAGCTTTTGTATGATCTGCATCTTTTTTTTATGCCATGAAGGTATCTTTAAAAAAAATCCCATTACGAAGAGAGTTTAGTGCCTCGTCAGTTTGCGAACTGAACAAATCTGAATGATTCTGCTGTTAAATGCGATATGCATCATTATATTTCAATCTTTCATAGCAGTGTTTTTTTGGGTTATGCTAGTTTTGGTTTAATGGTTATTTGTTCCTATACTGGACCAAAATTGTCAGTATGTGTGTGAAAATGCACAGAGAGAAACACTAGGGGAGATGTTATTTTAGGACAAAATAGATTATTTTGACGCCTGCAGAAGCATTTCCAGGACTTCTGGATAGAAGGACTATTAAAATCTGCTTTTCTTTAATGATATGTGTTTTAGCGAGTGTCTAGATAATGAAGCGTTGTATCTTTTAGAGAACTACAGCAGTTTGACTAACACTCCAGCCAACAAGAGTATCTTATCTAATTTAATTAGTTATGTAGAAATTTAATATACAGTATGTATTTATTTATTATTTGTAGAGTCGTTCAGTTAGTGCTCTAATCATTTTTCAGGGCATTCTTTTCTATAAAAAAAGAGAAATGCTAAAAATGAATTGTTACTGATATTTCTTTTCCTTTGTTTTTTATATTTGTGTTTTTATTAGATTTTTTTGTTGTCGTTGGTGAACTTTTAATTGTCTTTTTAACTGATGGCTTGGCTCTGTTTCCATTGTTGGCCATTATTACAAAAATAACTGCAGATAACTCAAGATTGCCCTTAACGTGATGCTTCATTAAAATTTTAAAATTATATATACAGCAATGGCAATAATTAAGAGACCACTCGGAAATTCCCTGGATTTATGATACATAGTTGCTTAATAAAAAAAAAGTTTTCTGTTCCAAACTGTAAACTACTTATAACATTTCTTTCTAATTAAAAAAAGATCAATTAGAGCATTTTTATGTATTAAATCAATATAAATCAAAATAATTCATTTTTAGACTTCAGACGTGGTGAGAAATCAATATTTGATGGAATAACCCTGATTTTCAATCACAATCAATGATATAGTTGTCATTTTCTAACCTCCACTTGTTTTTTGTTTGGGGATTGTAAAAGTTTCACGTTCGTATACGTATGGATCATTTCAAGAAATTCCTTGATCCACTTGGAAACTGTAATGAGTCGGGAAACAACAGAGTTGATGATCCAAATGCAGTTTTTTAAGAATCGTCAGGACAGGCGGCAAAAAAACATACACAGTTAAACAAAGCAAAGGTCAAAAACACGGCAAGACAAGGAAACGCTTCATAATGCTCATTTCAAGTTTAAAAGACTCAGCCATGATGTGTCTGCAGTTTTTATGGTCCATCTGATTAGTACATCATGAGCTTCCAGCTGTGTATGTGTAGTCAGCAGCAATCAGGAACTGGTGTTTGTAAAGGCTGATTTATACTTCTGCGTCAAGTGACCGGCGTCACCGACCGCGCATGCAACACGCGTAGCTGTGCATTTATACTTCTGTCTCTGTTGGTCTGCATTAACACTTCTGAAACGCTAGTTGGCAGTGAAGTGTTAATGTGTTTATGTGTCGAGTTTCTTCGCTGTTGTTTTGCTTTTCCTGAACACTTCCTGGATGTACAATTGGCTCAAACTCGCTCATTTTGAGGCAGGAACCAGCGGATGTGCAAGAACTTAAACTATGAGGTAAACACAAAACAAAACTTTCCATTCGGAGCTCCTTCACGGGACTCCACACTTGTAAACAATCGCTCGCGCGGGTTTCGGTCCCGTCCAGACTCGTCAGCGCTACCAAGCCGACCAATCACAGAGCTTGTACTACGCGTTGCTGCGATGTGTAGTTGCATTTTTTGAGAGGTGCACGTCAGTGACGCCGATGGCCACGGCGAAGGGCTACGGCGTTTGACGCAGAAGTTTAAATCAGCCTTAAGGTGCATGAATGGGAGGTGTGGTTCATTAAATTGGCATATGTGTAGTTCTCCAGGGATTTGCACAGGCTAGATCATTGGTGATCGTGACAGAAATGGCAAATTGTTAAAACGGTCTTATACATACGTCACACCTATATGTAACGCTGTAAGCTAACACACACTTTTTCTTAAGTGCGCTGAGAGAGACAAACACCAGAAGAAGATGATGACGAGCGCACCTTCAATCGTGTTCTTTTCGGTTGAGTCCCTTAATAATCTGGTCTCGCCACAGTGGAGTGAACCACTACTTATCCAGCATATGTTTTACGCAGGGAATGCCCTTCCAGCTTCATCCCATCACTGGGAAACACCCATACACTCTCATTCACACACATACACTACAGCCAATTTAGCTTACCCAATTCACCTGTAGGGGGAAACTGGAGCACCCAGAAAAAAACAACGGCAACACGGGGAGAACATGCAAGCTCCACAAAGAAATCAAAATTGACCCAGCCGAGGCT